AACATTAACATACATATTTTAATTACAGCAATTCAGCAGAATGACTGGTAAAAATAATTTTGGTATTGTGCTACTTGCTACGTACATACAAGCTACATACATATCTTATTATGAATTTTTCCATGGCCTCAAGCCGCATATTTGTTTCTGCTACCTATTTCAGCTTACTTCCGCAATTGTATGTTACAAGATCAAAAGTTTTTTTACGTAATAAATTGTTTGAACTGTGTTCGATTGGTATAGGTAACTGTGTTGAACAAAAAATAATTACCTATATCGATATAAAAATTGTGAGTGATTGGTGAATAACAAAGGCCTTTTGTTATAATTTTCCTCTAATTCGATTGACAAACTAGGTTATGTTTCTTTTCCAACTGATCTGTAACAATGTACGAGTAAAAAAATCATTTTTTCATCGAAACGTAATTGTACAGGATGTCTCAAACTTGATAGTATGGGCATACTGTGAGGTTACAAAAATTTAAATTAAATTTGGGACACGTGGTGTTAAATGGGATGGGATCCATTTTCAATAGAAAGTATTATCTTTGGGATTTGATAGAAACCACTAATGACGCCATCAATTATATTTTTTCCAGAAACATACCCAAATTTTTTTCTTGCTAAAAAACAAAAATCATATTAGTGGAAGGATCAAGTAGTCGTTAGAAAATAATTGAATGTTCGCTGTTTAAAGTGCATAAATGTCACAAAATACTTGTCATTACTCAATACGAACGTCAAACGTATAACTTTTGTGCTTACAAAATGTTTTCTTATTCAGAAAAAGTCGATTTGTTGCTAATTTACGGCGAGTCACAAAAAAATTAAAGAAGAGCTGTAGAGTTATATCGAGAAAGGTATCCAGAGCGTCTCATTCCTGATAATAGAACTTTTACAAGATTGGAGGAGACCTTGCGACGAAATAAAGATGCATTTGCTGTTCGGAAAAATCAAATAATTGACCGAAGGCTAAGAAACAATACAGCTAGACTGTTACAGAATTTTGAATAAAATCCACGAAATTCTATACGGCAGGCTAGCTGGGAATTGAATTCGGATAAATCAGCCTTTCAACAAATTTTAGAGACCAATGGGTATCATGACTGTTACAGAATTTTGAATAAAATCCACGAAATTCTATACGGCAGGCTAGCTGGGAATTGAATTCGGATAAATCAGCCTTTCAACAAATTTTAGAGACCAATGGGTATCATGACTACAAAATTCATATTTTGGATTATTTGCCTGAGCATCACATTGAAAACAGACTTAATTTTATAGCTTAAATTGTAGTAAATGTAGAAACTGTTGATCAGAACCTTTCTTGGCACGTTCTTTCGACGGACAAAGTCGGTTTATCAGTAATGGTTTGCCAAACAGGCGCAACGAACAGTACTGGTCCATTGAAAATCTCCACATTGTAAATCCAGTCCAAAACCAAGGCCATTTTGGAGTAAATGTATACCGACATTATAACGAGCGTGGTCGAAGTCGGCTCTGACACATTGGACGTAGGGAGTAGCTTATAGCGACCAACTTAACCTCATTTCTCAACGAGCTGTATAGCAGCTGTCAGTTTCAATAACGTTAATGACTATATAACTTTATTTTAAAGAATAATCGTGATAACAATAACAAACAATTAAAGGAGCTGCGGAAAGTGTCCCCCTCCTTGTTATAACAATAAATTAAAGCAGCTGCTGAAAGTGTCCCCCTCCTTGTTCCAAGCACTTTTCACACCTGTTCCTCAAAGAATTAAAGACATTTTCTAAGATGCTCGGGGTATTGTTAATTTCACGAATCTTGTCTATAAGTCGAGCCTGCAGATGGTTTAAATCAGGAATAGGCAGTTCAAAAATAGTGTTTTTAAGGTAAGGCCACAAAAAGAAATCACACGGCGTAATATCACATGACCTCGGTGGAAATTCATGTTCAGCATTGAGACTTATTAGTCGATTTTGGAAAACTTCCCTCAACATATTCATCGTCTCGCCTGCCGTATGTGCCCTTGCGCCATCTTGTTGAAAGTAAAAGTTTGTAATTTCGTTTTCTTCCAGCTGGTTAACAAAAGGAGCGATAATTTCTTCTCTATACCTTTGCGCAGTAAGAGTACCATTAAAAAAAATAGGTCCATAAATCCTCCTTCGATTGAGAGCACACCAAACTCCAATTTTTTGAGCGTGTAGAGGGCCCTCGACAAAAAAGTTATCTGGTTTTTCAGAAGACCACATTCTCATATTCTGTGAGTTTACGTAACCACTTAAATGAAACCAGGCTTCATCAGAAAAAAAGGTGATATTATGAAGTTCACCGTAGTTGTTTAAAAACCATTCACAAAATACAGCCCGTCGCGGAAAATCAACTTCATGAAGTTCTTGCTGACAAGTTAAACGATAGGAGAACAAACGCAAATCTTTTTTTAACACTGTGTGGCAGGTACCGACTGATACTCCCACCATTTGTGATAAAACACGTACAGAAGTTCTTGGCGCATTTTCCATTATTTGTTGGACATTTTCTTTTAATTCTTCAGTCCGCTTTTTAGGTCGGCCGCTTCCTTCTTTTCTTGTTACACTGCCCGTTTCACGAAAAACATTAACACAACGCTGAACTGCACTTTGAAAAATTTTGTACTCAACAACGCCGGGAAATTGATTTTGAAATTCTATGAAACATTCCTCAATAGAATACTTCCATATTCCATCAATCTTGCGTCCATTTCTAAAGTAGGACTCTATGATAAACACTTTTTGTTCTTGAGAAAACATCATTTTAAACGCTTTTTAAAACGAAAATATTCAAATTGATAGCGGCGATATAGCGCTTTGACAGATGACGTTTAAGTTCATTTGCTATACGCTACACTCTACGTCCAAATTTTCAGAACCAACTTGACCACGTTTTTATTTGAACGCTCGTTACCTACAGGAAATGTAAGAATACTTAATATTATAGTCCCTACGAGCTGCAAATAATTAGTTATTTGAGAAATCTTTTCTTGTTCCGTAGTTCTTCTTTTAAGTATGCTTCTATTTTTCATTTTACTTACTATGATGCAAATATGAAATATAATAACAGCTGCACAAAAAAAAAAGTCTTGTTCAAATGACTAGAATACATTAAGCCCATGTATTTTGAGCCGCTGAAACTGAATCCGATGTCAGAATTACCACAGCAAATCACCAGATGTTTCTAACATTAAAAAATGTTTAAGAACCCCACACAATTTACAAATCAACATTTAAAATCTAGGTATGATTTATCAGCGGCTGAAACTAGTTGTCAGATCTTCATATTCCCATGTATCTTGACCCGCTGAACATTAATCTAAAGTCAGATTTGGCCCATAAAGTGACAAATCCTTCCTTTAAAAATGCTTAATAAATTAGCTTCTATGATCCAGGTATGATTTACCAGCGACTGAAAATCGTAGTCTGACCGATGCATTCCCGTGTATTTTGACCCCTGATTCCGAATCCGATGTCAGAATTGCGCCAGCCAACCTGAAAAATAGCTTAAAATCGTTAATATAAGGTTCATTTCTAATCTTTAACATCATTGAAGTTGCTGACATTTAATTGTTTCGCTCTGTAATTTTTTTTTCTAAAATATCTAGTTTATTTATCGAGGACAAGGAATTTTGGGTGGCAGTAGTAATTTTTTGCGGTATTATTTTGTAAGTGTACCTAGAATTTACAATGGAAGGTGTAAATATTAGTGCATTCGTCCTCGACAACACCTCTGAACAACCACTCCCTGTAAAAAATAGTTATTCAGAGCATTTGCGGGATACTTTCTAAATAAAATTCTCATAATTGCAGAAAAAAATGCGAGCTTATAGACGTCGGGCGCTTGTTTTGTATGACTGAAGCGGACGGCAATGGGTAAACCTTAATCAACTGCAACAAGCAAGCTCATAACATACTTAACTTGATAAAAATGTATATCCTGTATTATTTTTTTGTATAAAGTGGGATTGTTTTATTTATTGCTTTGGGTGTTCTGCAAATATGCCCCTTGATGTTGTTGCAACATGTCATAATGCAATTCAACAGATTTTTAATTTTTTGAAATTCTCTTTTTATTTAAAATAATTTGTTCTTAGCATATTACAAATCAATTTTATAAAAAAATGTAACTCGGAAATTGAGTTGCAAATACTTAAAAATTTCAGGTAAAATTTGAGGAAAATATTGAGTTTACTTCTAAAAAGTAGTGGAATGCATGAATGTGCTGTAAAAGCAACATTTTGTTAATATATTTGTATTTGTAACACTTATTTTTCATGTTTTTTTTTTTATTGAAACCTTTGAATTATCTTCATATATTCAATAAAATGTTCATGTAGATATATCTCCATTTGGATGCAACAATTAAGTATTTAATCAGGAATTAGATAGATTTGCTTCTATTCTTATATGACGTAAGTACTTTTGTTATAGACTACAAATACTGCTAACAATTATTGACGAAAAACAGTTGTTTATTTCATTGATTTTATAATGATTTCATAGGGTGGTTATTTGCTTGTCAAAATTTTGCTTTTCAAATTTTACGTAAAATCAGTTACGATTTTCGTTTATTCTCTCAAACTGAACCTCAAATAAGAAATTGTTTTATTTCTAATGGGCCATTATAGTAAATAATCTCACGTATGTATACCAGTAATTAAATTTTTTTTACGGTTGTTTGTTATAAACTGAAAAATACAAAATAAAAATGAATGTATAAATATATTTTTTAAATATATATTTTATTACCTATTAGCTCTCCTATCAGTTCATATGAAATTAATTAAATTATTGTAAGCAAATAATATGGAAGTCTGTATGGCATCCAGAAGAAATATAAACAAATTTTCATATTCGTTCTGTCCGACTTCCTTTGTACGATATATGCTAAAAAGAACATTACTCCTTTAACAATTACAAAACTATTTATTGTTTTATACAAAATAAAGTAAAATACAGTGACTATATAAAAATCTGACGATCGACTATTTCACCGGGTTCTTTTCTTAAACACAGCTTTAAAATACAGGTTCTACAGACTTAGATTTTCGAATTACTTAAGACTAAAAATATGCACAACATGCTGTCAGCTGGCTGCCTAGCCTGCTTAGCTGCAGAAGGGGTAGTTCGGACATGAACGGGCGTCGACTCCAGCAGGGATTTGACCTACCCCGTGGGCTTGTTGGGCACCGTGGTTTGGACCTGGGTTCCATCCCCCTTGATTTTGCCAACCTACAATAGGAAGTGTATATTACTATCATTTGTTTGGAAAATACAGAGCCTTCATAAATGTTTACAAGCCACGTGACCGCCAAGCTAAGGCTGTACTGTCAACTAAAAATCCCTAGATCATAGCGTCATCGATATTAATAATTCGTTTACAATGAACAATGACAAACCGTTACGTCTACGCTCGAAATAATGCGATTGCTGATTGTTGATTAGAATCTCGTGAAGAATTACACCCAATCACAGTTGGTGAAACAGAATTTTGTGTTTTAATATAGTAATTTTGATCTAATTGTTGCAATAATTCTTAATTTTATCGAAATTTAATTCCCAACACGAAGGAAATAAAATTAATTCTAATCATTATGCTTCATACTTTTTGTGATAAATTAACAGTCTTTCGAGATATTTAAAAATATAATAAAAGTATTCAATTAAGTTATTTAATCTAAAAACTGGTTATTAAAATAAATGTTTTCATGATACAAAATGTTTGATGTGAACTATGTAACAGGACGCTGAGTATTTCTGAAAAATATTTTAACATTATTACGTATTGAAGAAAATATATCTATAATTCAAATCAAATTTGATTACACTACAGGGATTAGGAAACTAATTTAAAGATAAATTTTACGTAGGTATGTTTATTAATAATTAACGACATTTCTATTATTTTGGTCTATTCTATTCCAGAATTTGTTTTTTTTTTGAATATATGTTTTTGAATAATGACAAGAATCACAATTTGGTTTGCATTATTACTTTGGAATGTTTTATAAAAAATATTGAGTTCTCAAAAATGTAATAGGTATATATATAATGCTGAAAATTGCAAAACTCAGATTTAACAAATAATTTAAAAATTTGCTATATTTCTGTTATATTTGCAAAAAAATGTCTCTTCGTGAAACGGACAGTTAAACTATTTCGATTTATTCAACGTACTGCAGACTAAATAAAAATAATAAAACTACAATGACTAGTTTTTCAAATAATATGAAATATATCTTTCTTTTTTCTTTCTTTTTTGAAATATAATTAGTAGTCAAGAGGATTGAATGGACTACTGGAATTCTGGAGATGGTTTGTAGTTATCCTGTCTACAACTAAGTATCTCCACCATTTAGTATATAATTATTGTATACAAACTCATTTAATTTTTCATTAATCATTATCATATCTATTTCTAGATATTTGCATATTTTTCAAAAACTTTTATACTCGGTGTCTCGAAAACCAAGATCATAGCACCGTTTTTCTTTATAATATAATCTGGATTTACCCACTTTACTATAGGAACTACTGTATGTTTCTAATTTCGTTTTTAAAACTATATAAATTTTTAATAGAAATAGTTAAAAATGGATAACATATCAAATACTATAATGTCACATATACAAATCAATTGAACGAAAAATTTTAGCAGAATTTATATATTGCATTATTGCATTTCAGTTATGTGTTTATCTTATAATAATTTTATTATTACACACATTTTACAGCCATTCCTCAAGTAAAAATAAACAAAAAAAAAGTAGTTAAACTTTGGCCGGAAAATGCACCTTTTTTGAGACATGATCCTTTAAAATCTTTTAAAAAAAATTCTGTTTAGATTTAATATTTATAAAAACATGCTAACAATTGCGTATTTCTTTTTATTCTGCCGTAGATATGCGGTAGGAGTAATGTTGTCGAATTTTCTTATTTTCATAATTTTATAGTAAATTGCATAATGAAGATTGAATTTATTTTTCAACAATTTTAATTTTTCAGAAGAATTTTAGTTAACACGCCAATACATAAAAAAACTGCATCTGCACGAAATTGGTATAGAATAATTGTACCAAATACACATAAATTAAACATAAAAAATATGTAAACATAATCAAACATTGTTACTAGCACGAATAAATTACAAAGAGGAATAATATTAAATTTCAACAATACATTGCATATTGTATAACTATATTCTTTTTGTTATATGAACTAATTACTCTTTGTATTTGAAAGTTTTTCTTTCTAATTTCATTGCATCATCTTTAAACCAAAGATTTGTTATTCTTTATTTATTTTTAGTATGATAAAATTCAACTATGTTTACATATTTTTCTATATTTAATTTGTTTACTTTTTTATTTTTATATGTCAAGCTCTTTCTTGTTTAGCTTTTCTATACTTTAGCCTAGCTTATTTAATTAATTATTTAATTATTCGTTTGAAAAACTGTAGTTCCTGTCATAAAGTTCAAACAACAATACGAAATTTACTCCAAAATCTAAAATAATACGAAAATTTGACAAGAGCTATTTTTATTAGTATATATATATCCCTTTAACCAAGAAACAAAACTATTTTAAAAAGTTCTAGGCGTAGTAGTTACGTTTCACAAGTAACTAACCCCTCATACCTACAGCAGTCAGTGGTAATTAAAATGCAGAATTGTTAGCTTGATTTTGTAAATAATAATGTACTACCGTATAAAATTTTGTGAAACTATAATTAAAGATATTTATATCTTTAGAAGTAGTAAAGACTCATTGAGCTATCCTATGGGTCTATAACAAACCCAATATGTATACCGTACCTCCATATGCCGGAGCATATCCCGGAGCAAGAGCTTCAGCAAGACCTTCACCGTGGTAATCACCATCCCCAACGTACTCTCCCCTGTTCAGTCTCGCCTGAATATCGTTGCTGTACTGTGGAACGGGTTGTGCATTCCAGTTGTTGTTCTGGTTCCACTGGGGTTGTGGGTTCCACTGACTACCGTGGTTCCATTGGTTGTTGTTGTCCCAGTGGTTCCATTGAGGCTGTGGGTTGCCCCATTGTTGGGGAGCGGCTTGGTTGGGGTTGGCGGCTACGGCTGGGTTGGAGCAATGGGGGAAGTTGGGGCAGGCCTGGGGGCTCACTCCTGCTGGGTAGAGGGAAGCTGGCTGCCCCCCTGCCAAGGGACCGTTCCAAGCGGCATGCGCTGCTGCTAGGGAACAAGCCAATACGGCCTAAAAAATATTTAAGGATATTTTATTTCGTTTGATGAGTTGCTAGTGGTGTTGGTTTCTGCATATTTTTCTATTTCAAAGTGTATAAAAACAATGTTAGATTTTTTTAAAAGAAGTAGGTATAAAGCTTCATTTGCATAATGTTCCAATTTCTCCAGTAAAAACTTCAATTCATTTTAAAGATGAAGAACTGAATATCAGTGTATACTTAAAAAATGTGAAAAACTCCTAAAAAATATGTTTAAACTGAATGTCATGATTCAAGATATAGTAATTCTCCACAGACTAAGGTGCTATAAAACAGTTTTACGGATTAAATCCAGATAAGCCACAAAATAATTCAGCAAGTGTGCTGAAAATTTAATTAGTCAGCTCATAAGGATAGTCTAGCGACGACGACAGCATATTCAATAAAAATCCAAATATAACTGTATTACCTACCGACAAAGAATATCTTGATAAAGTAAAAGATGAGATGATAAGACAAGCTATAGCAGAAAAAAAATGGAATATTTTCCTATAATCACGCTCTTTTTTCATTAAAATTAATGTATTTTACTTTGTTAAGAAATATCTAAAAATAATAATAGATAAGTTCTGATGTTTTCAAAATGTTTCTAGTAAATTTAAAAGTGATATTTTCTCTTTTGTGATCTAAGTTTGATGATTTTTTTTTGCAAGTTGTAGAAAAATTCATTGGTGCCAACCTTACTGAATAAACTTTATTGACAATATTGAATTATTTCTAACACCATCTTGTTTTAATACCTCGTTATCTGCATTCTCTTTGTAATAATTATATTAAATATCTAAACAAAAAATTGCTGTGAATGTCCAAACAACCTCAATTAACAATTTCAAAATTGCAACTGTGGCAGTTTGAATTAAGATTTAGATAAGTTTGGCTTTATAAACTCTAAGCAAATTCTGATCTAAATGATTTTGAGTGAGTATTCTTTAAAAAAAATCAGAAATTTTGTGCTGCTACAGGTTGTTCCGTATGAATCTAGTTTACCATCTTCACCAACTGATCTTCCTCTTCGCGAGACGTCTTGAAAATATATTCAAATGTGCATCTGAATCTGAATAAAATAACATCAACAAAATCAGAAAACATTACTGGATCGGATATGAAAAACAAAATTGCATTTGTGCGGTTTCACTTTGTTTTGTTGTGATAAATTTAGAAACGTAAAGTTGGAAGTACAGTTCAAAAAATGGTATTGCTTACAGTATAAAATTCTACAACACCGTAGTTTTGAAAATAAATAATGAATGAAAATGCACCATAACAATAATTGACGATAAATCGGTACTGAAGATGGAAACAAGACAACCAAACAACCCGTATATCCAGACCAATGTGCCAAAAAACAATATCCTTCACTGAAGTCCTTATACACACACTTGGTTCACTATTTTCTTTTTCAAAAACCGCGGGGATGCCACAAGGACAGCACCACTACTTACCAGTTTTACAAACATGTTGATATTTTACGGGACTAAGAATGATGCGGTGTTAAAATACCTTCTATATATACGGACACCACACCCTATCTACCCGATTTATAGAAATGCAACAGTTAAATATTTTTAATTCCTATCCTACACATGATTGGAGGAAAATATAGATTGCGTTGTGCAATGGGGTATGATCCTTGGCGTATAAAACTGATTTCTGTACAATTTGCGTCCTGTCGCGTTGCTTCCAAGGTTCCGCACTTCATTGCCATGGTAAATATTCAGCTATTCGAAAAAAATGGTTTATATCTGTATAAAAAAGTTGAAATAGCTGCGATAGGTGAGGCTTTCCTTATTCTGTAATGTAATAAGACTGTGACCTTATTATTACAATACAGACATTTTTCTAGTTGTTGCATTAATTACATTGCAGAAATACTATTTATCGTAGTTTGTTAATAATTTCAGCATCCAAGCCTACTCTGAATGTAGATCCAGCTAAAGAACTTATTGACATCGGTGTAGCGCGGTTATTATTATCCTTGAATGACTCCTTTGTTTTTGTGGCAGGTATTGTCTGCTGCACTGCATTATGTATTCACGCAGGCACATAATATACATTATATTAAAATAAGTAGGAGGTTACAGTTATTTAGTAATATCAGTGCAATGCATGTCATTACATTTTAAATAGGAATTGAAAGTGTGACAAATATTTTTCAAATTATTATTACCTTATCTATTTAAATACACTTTCTGTATTTTTTTAGTTTGTGCTCTCCGCATATTAAGGACTAAACTGAGTAAAATTTCGCTTTTCAAGAAGATAAAATAAATGTTATACATAGAATTTTGTCACAGCTGTGACTGTATATAGGGTATCCAAATATGGTATGGTATGGTACTTATAGTTCAGGGAACCAAGGGTTTCTCCTCCGAATTCTTTTGGATAAAACTGATTGACGTGAAACTTGGACTGTAAGTAGAAAATAACTCAAGAAACAAAAGTTATATAGTGCCGATGAGCGCTTTTACCCGGAGGGTGAAAAATAAAATATTGAAAATAACTCCAGGAATCGATAAGGCAATTAATTTTAAGGAAAAAGTATCGTATGAACATTTTTCGATAAGTCAATATTTTCTGAGTTATAGGTGAATGTACATTTTTTTATTAAAAAAAGACGTTTTTCAGTAGTTTTTCTCGAATAACTCGGAAAATAGACATCCCATGAAAAAAAAAAACATCACGGAGAAAATAAAGCTTATAGAAAACGAAAAAGATTGAGTTTCTTTTCATTTATGTAGGTGCAATAGGTGCTGCGATACGGCTGGTTGAAGATAATTTTATGTCCGCCAGAAACTAAATTGGAAGTATTTAACGTAAAATAAGTAAAAAATTCTATTTTTCAAGAAAAATGTATAGAACACTTTTTTTAAAGTATTTTAAAAAATTTTAAATTAACTTAACTTTAAGTCATTGGCATAAAAATTAACAGTTATGATCAAAATAAAACTGTTCTTTCGCTTTTTCGGAAAAGAAATCAGTACAAAAATTGATGATTTTTTCACGCGATTTAAAATTAAAGGTAATCCTTCTACAATTTACATTTTTTATGTGCTGACAATATATTATACAAGTTTAAACGGTTTAGAATGCATATTTTTGAAAATACATATTACGTTTTAATTAAAAAAAAAATATTAAAAAAAAACATATTTTTGAAAATAACTAAAAATAAAAATATACGAAAAATATTCAAGAATACAAAAGTTCAGATTTTTTTTCACAGAATATTTTGTTGTTTTTTACTTGTGTAGGATAAAAAGTAACAGTTGTTGCTAGAAGTTTGCAGTTGAGGCCGAAGGTCATGTTTTTCAAACCCTTTAACCTAAAAAATCTCAAAAATAACGGGTTAATTTTTTAACGCTTTATTTTTTTAGAGTACTTTTAGCTGTAGAAAATCGTGTTTGAAATAATTTAAAAGCCATTTTTTTTATATTTTGTCATTGGGGGTGGGTTTTAAGGGTTAAAGCAAGCGATAAATTATACATTCTATTATAAATAGGTAAAATAATTTAGTTTATCCTGTTTGTACTATCAAATCATTTCAAACTATTTTTTTTGTCATATTTTGTTATTAGGGGTAGTTTTTTTGAGGGTTGAAATATTGTAATAAATTATTTATAATACCAAAAACTATTGAAAATATTTCTATCTATAATATATGCGCTATAAAAACATTTTAAGGTCAATGTATCTATTAATTTTATATTTTTATCATTAAGGGTGGGTTTTAAGGGTTGAAACTTTATAAAAATAACGCAAAATGTAACCCACAATATAAAACAATATTTATTCTATACAGGGTGTCTCACATTTAAATAGCAGGACTTCAGGAATCAGTAGAAGACCTCATTTTGAGTCTAAAAGTTCCTATATATATGGGTCCTAAAACGCTTCGTTTCTGAGATACAGGGCGTTCAATTTTATTTTTGTTTTATTTATNTTAATTCCAAATTTTCATAAAAATCGAATCTATCCGAAAGTATTGGAAAGTTTTTACCCTATTTTCTCTTCGTTCCTTGGACTACTTATCGAGATTTTTTTTCGATATACAGGGTGGGCCATTAGTGTGAGAAAGTTAAATAACTCCCTTCTTACTCATAATACAGAAAAATATTATCGTATTATAAAAAATGCCCTGTATAAAATATCGATATTAGCTAATATTAGCTATATAGTCTTTGTTTAACATTTACCTATAACTATCTCAAATATTTTTGCTCCAAGTGTTAGTAGTTGAAAGTTATTACAACTTCTTCGAGGTCATGTTTTTTCCAAGAATTTTCTACATAACTTGGCAACCCCGCACTGTTAAACTGTTTATATTGCCATATATAGAATTTTTTCAGAAATCCATAGGTATGTATAAAAATTTACAGGGTGTTCCATTAAAAAAAAGTAATATTTGGCGTTATTTTACTAATTTTACTAATGGCCCACCCTGTATTAACCAAACCAAACCATATGCTCATTTTTCTTATAGATATTCTTACAATTTCAATTGCTATTTTATTTTTGTCAAATTTCTTTCTTTTGTAAGTTTTTAGTGTTCAACGATTTTCGGATAATTACACAGGCCGATAAAATTTAAAAAAAAAATTCCAGAGATCAGACACTACGCTTCCGAAGGCATTTGGCGCGCTGAATCCGAATCTGGCCTCAGAATTGATCCATCACCCTAGGTTTCCGAGATATTCTAACCCAAAAGTGCAAAAACACATACTTTTGCTATATTCAAGGTTATGTAACTTGGCGAAAAAAATTTTTTTTCTCAAAACTGAAAACATCATTGGAAACGACTATCTTTCCCCTTCAAAACGCATTTTTCTATTTGGAAAAAGCTCTATTTTTCGCGGAGGTATCGTCAATTTAAGATGACCAGCATGGCTATATTATTACATCATGGCTAACCCCATAACACTGAGCGCTGCTAGCCCTAATTGTTAGGAACGTTAACCCCAAGCCCTATAACCCCACAACACTGAGCGCTGCTAGCCCTAATTGTTAGGAACGTTAACCCCAAGCCCTATAACCCCACAACACTAAGCGGAGCGAGCGCCCTCATCGTCAGGAAGGTTAACTTCAAGCCCTATAACCCAATAACACTAAGCGCTGCGAGCCCTAATCGTCAGGAAGGTTAACCCCAAGCCCTATATGTCTGGAAGGTTAATCCCAAGCCCTATAACCCCACAACACTAAGCGCTGTGAGCCCTAATCGTCAGGAAGGTTAACTTCAAGCCCTATTACCCAATAACCCATAATACCCATTAATTGTGTTATAGGTCGAGCCATGGTTTAATAAGGTAGCTATACTGATCATCTTTAATCGACGATATCTCCGCGAAAAATAAAGCTTTTTACAAATAAAAAAATGCGTTTTGAAGGGGAAAGATAGTAGTTTCCAATGATATTTTCAGTTTTGAGAAAAAAAATTTTTTCGCCAAGTTACATAACCTTGAAAATAGCAAAAATACGTGTTTTTTGCACTTTTAGGTTAGAATATCTCGGAAACCTAGGGTGATGGATCAATTTTGAGGCCAGATTCGGATTCAGCGCGCTCAATGCCTTCGGAAACGTAGTGTCTGATCTCTGGAATGTTTTCCTTGTTGGCCTGTGTTATTTACTAAGTGATTCGTGTGATAGTTTTCTTGACGATTGTGATTTAGGACAATTAACAAATGTGATTTAGGACAATTATGTCTGCTAACATAAGGATTCTTTTTATAGTCTTGAAAGAGACTAAATGCAGAGTTTTTCGAGTACCGCTCCATTTTTAATAACACTGAACTGTTAACTATCATGCTATCTTTTTTTTTCGTTGGCATTGACACTTTGCCGCACAAATGGCGTAACATTCAAATCCTGGAAGAGTTTTGGGACATTATACCCATTATATTGCAAACAAAGCATCTCAGAACACAATTTTTTAAAGAACTTTTCTAATTAATGCATGTCCGTTAGTTATCCTCTGAATTACACACTTCGTAGTATTTGAAAAAAAAAAGATTTTTACATCTATGTAAATGAGGGTTTTTAAAATTTGCATCGTATTGGTGTTAGAAAATTCTAATAAACTACGTATTATTATTCAGTCAGAACAAATTTCCTTGAATGGTAATCGATGGGTTGAATAGTCCGGTGTTTTTCTAATACATATTTATTACGACCTATTTGTTTGTTTAAAATAATCACGCACATCTATTTGTTATGTTATAAATATTCCATTCAGTTTCACCATTTAAACGGGAAAAGTAGAGTACAAATATACTAACACATATTTATGGGGTGATAAAAATCTGAGTTGCAAATAATGTAGAAATTTAATACCAAAGTGTAATACTTACTTAATTTGTATTAGACAAATTGGATGACGATGAGTTTAATTAAAAAAATAGTAATAAGATCCACTTCTTATTTGTGGAAGGGCAAAATGGGCGGTAACTATTAGACGCCTTCATTAAAGCTATCTTTCTCTATCGCACGGAAGTCTATGACTTACTTTATCGCTGTCACATAACGGCCGATGGACCATGGGGACTTTCCGACCCTGTATATTAAGGAGTAGAAATTGATTGACTTCTGACAGTCAATTGCGTTTTTGTCAAAAACGGTACATCTTTAACAATTGTAACGTGACTATTCTTTTTATGTAAAACGAAATTTGACATTATTATTTATAACATACATTGAAAAAAACCTGAACATAATTAGTGACCTCTAGGAGATGGTTAAAAACTAGTAACACCCACGTAGTTATCACCATCAATAACTTAATTGTACTTACCTACCAAATTTCATTAGTTACATTATTTTTTCTGAATATTAGAAATTTGACTAAGTATAAAAATCAATTTTGGCACTCAAAAACATATCAGCAGATCCATAGATCATTAAAAAATCTTATTTTCTGATGGTACCTTTTTAAAAAACGTATTCGTGTTATTGCAAAGTGCAACTTTACAAAAATACAAACAAATCAAATTACAAGCATAATTTGTCTGAGCTAATTTTACATGAATAATTAGAATTGATGTTATAATAATCAATATTTCGGTTTTGTTAGAGGATTTGGATTTGTAGGTCATTGATTGCAGGCTGTGTCTACATTTCAATTCTCCACGACCGCAGCAATTTGTTCCGGTTACCCACTCTGCCTGTTATTCTTCATAATTATGTTTTAAGAAGACACCACCTTCCAGAATGAAAAAAAATCAAACAGTTAATAAATTAAGAGTTTAATAACAAATTTACATTTTTAACAACATGTTGTCAGCTGGCAGTCTGGCTGTAGAAGAGTGAATCATTAGTGACAGAAAGGATAGTTGGGACACGCTTGGGCATTAACTCCAGCGGGGATTTGGGAGGCTGGGGGGTGGTACTGGGGTCCCGGGGCCTGTTGGTACTGAGGGGCAGCGTTGTAGGCGGGCCGGGCTGGTTGTTGGGCTGGAAAAAAAGTGAAATTAATAAAGCAAATGAATATAAATGTGCGTCCAGACATGAAACAGAACACAATAACGTAACACCGTCACGTATCAAGTCTAGACTCCTCGCAACAGCGTAACATCGTAACTTCGTAACATTACAGCGTTCCTTCAGTTGGAGAAGTTCCTTAGAACAGAACACAGTAGTATATGCCTGAACAAACACCGCGCAACAGAGTAACATCGTAACATCACGGCGTCCTATCGGTTGTCACACACAAGTGGGCAGGTCAGGACCGTCGTGCAAATATTGCAATACTTATTCAGTCTTTAGTTTTCGGTATCGAGGAAAATGGATTTTGTGGCATACCATACGAGATATTATAGTCCAGTTAAAAAAATTATGCTTTGAAAGAAATTGCCAATAAATTATAAACTACAGCTTATGATGAGTGAAAAAAAAAAACGAAAAAAAAAATATTCTCACTAAATAGTTCATAACTATATAAGCTGAAAATGCAATATCCATTTTGCTTGGAAGAATTAGACGAACTGATGAAACGGCATAATATTCTTCGCTGATGTTACGTGACAATGTTCTCTTACACCTCAGAACTTCATCGCACCGTAACATCGACTTGTAACAAAGAATGTTGCACGGCAGAATTCTGTTGCTCTGTTCTGTTGCATGTTTGAATACATCTTTAGACGAAATAATATTGCCTCATATAATAATATTCACGCTGATAATACGCGAAGCGATGGAATTCTACTATAGTCGAGGTAATGAAGCACTCAACCTCGGAATTTTTTGCACTAGTTTCTCTCCCCCGCGTGAATTTTGGGAGAGTCCCACGGAGATGACGTTCATCGGCGTTCCTGAGCTCCAAGTCGGCTGTGGGTCAACTTGAACATCATAATCGTGATCAGCGACCTCGAAAACCCCCGGAAACCCGATTTGGTCCAGTTCTGACTCTTATTTACAAAGTTATTAAATCTTCCAAAAGCCGTCTCAAAAAATGCCTTTTTTGAATGCGTTTTTGGCTGCAGCAATGCAATTTCCGGTTTGTAGACAAAGTAGATACATTTTTTACAAAAAATTTTTGGAAGCGAATGCAAAAAACCGCATTCCGATCCGTCTTAGTGCAAAAAATTCCGAACTTTTGGCCTTTTTAGTGCTTCATTGCCTGGACTACTACTGTATACGGACTTAAATATCATTACACCGTAGCATCGTCCCCTTACAAAAAATGGACAAATAATTCAATATTTTCTTGCATTCATTAGTTGTAGTAATGTACTTCCTCACTAATTTATACCTAAGCATAATCTTTTTTATAATATTTTGTAATGTCTAATATGCTTGATACTCCTCAAAATATTTTTTCCTTGGGTAAATCTCAATGGAGAGAATTCACCTCTTCCTTCCACTACATACAAAAACGGTATCAAATTAAGATCTTACAATGTTTGGACAGCGGAACATTCCTTTGATATTGATGCACCAGAGAAATACTGGCAACTGTTGAGATGCTAGATTCTTAAGGAGTCTTTCCACAACGCAAAGTACGGGGAGCAAATCGTCCATGCTAGTTATGATAGAGTCAAAGCAGAACATTGATAGCTTGTTTTATGGACGATTCATTCACTGAACCTTGCGCCCTGAGAAGGCGGCTTTATGATATTACGTCGTTGCGTGGGAGCATCCAGACTTGTCTGAACCTCATCACTCCGTAACACAGCCCCGTAACAAAGGAATGTTACACACCAGAGTTCTGTTTCTATATTCTGATTCGTGTTTGGATCCACCATAAGGCAAAAATTAAATAGAAGCACATATTTTGCTTAATTACTCATTCAATCATTGAATATAAAATATTAAAATTTGGTATAATTACTTCAATGACCTACATACAAATTTGAACGAAAATTAGTCAGTGTTGTTCGAATCAGGATGAGATTTGGGGTATTCTTTCAGAAAAAGCTTAAGCAGTGGTCCATAGTTAATTATTATTCTCTAATTTCTCAACAATTAAAGATACATAATAATTATGGAAAAAAGTAATATATCCCTCTGACTATATTTCGTTCATATATTCGCAAATTTGTACAAAATATTATATTTTCCCCTTAGCTCTGGTGTTAATAGTGGTTCTGACATTGTCATGTGCTTTGCGCCATGAAAGTGTATTTTACCACAACAAACAACTCTAAATGTTTAAAATTTTTGTTCGGATGTAATTTATATACGTATAGGAAGAACGTTGTTTGTTAAAATTTTAGATTAGGTAATTCCTGAGAGAGCAACAATGCACCAAGTCTGACATTTTTAATGATTCTTAACTAATCGAAAAAAGTATCGTGGACCTATAAGAAATGTTCTAGGAAAAAGCATTACTCTTCTTTTGGTTTTGTTTATTTTGACGAGCAAAATGAGTTTTGAAAGTTTGTGTAACGTCCTGTATATTTTGTTAAGTGCAAACACACCCTTACCTTCTGGAGCAAGTGCTTCCCTGAGACCTTCACCGTGGTAATCGCCATCACCAATATACTCTCCTCTGTTCAAGGCGTTCTGGATTTCTGGGGAATACTGTTGCTGCTGGGGTGATTGGCTGTACTGTTGTGGCAGGACAGGGTTGTATTGGGAAACGGCATCCTTGTAGTGAGCGATGGGTTGTGGTTGCTGAGGTTGGTACTGAGGAGCAGGTGCTTGGTACTGTTGGGGTTGTTGATATTGAGGAGCTTGTTGGTATTGGGGCGCGGGTTGCTGGTATTGGGGAGCTGGTTGTTGGTATTGAGATGGCGCTTGATAGGCTTGAGGTGATTGCACTGCTACGGCTGGGTTGGAGCAGTCAGGGAAGTTTGGACAGGATTTGGGGTCGACACCGGCGGGGTACTGGGCAGCAGGAAGGCCTCCAGCGAGGGGTCCGTTGTAGGCCGCCAAGGTGGCGGTCAAAGAGCAAGCAAATACGGCCTGAAGAGAAAAGATGCTTGTATAAGATTATCGGTAGAAACTGAGACGTAGAAGAATCTATGCTTTTAAGAATATTAAGTCTAAAATTTTTTCTAAAATATTCGTCTGATGAATATATTATTATTGTGCTCTTTGATAGGCAACCAAAGACATGTATTAATATAACTAATGATATTGTATGAAAAAACTACTCTGCTGTTTAAAGCCCTGACCAGCACTGATTTACCGATATTTTTATTGCACGTGCGATATTTAATAAATATATTATCTGGCATACAGGGTGTCCCGTTCATGTTTCAAAAAAACGTGTTTGCAAATTCCTCATGGAAAAATAATAGGGGTAGTTCATATAAAGTTTTTTTTTAAACGCCCTGTTTTCGAGATACAGTGTGTTGAAGTTGTTACTTTCCAAGTGGTTTTCCTTAATTATTTTTAAATCGGCTAAAGATAAAAATGTCAAAATTTGTACACGAGTAAACATCAACGGTGCGTTAAGAATAATGTGCAAATGGTTTCTTTCTGAAAAGCAGTGTCGCCGATGCAGGTAATTAGAGGGGTACAATCGATAAAAAAAATATGTTAAAAGTCAAAATTACATTTCTAAACGGATCTGTAAATTCTAAAGCATACTACAAAAAAAGGTATACCTACTTGTCGAAATTCGATAGTATGTACCATTTTCGAGAAAAATTAAGTTACATAGAAGGAAATGGGGTACAATTTCAGTGTCTACTATAGTATTTCGAGTTTGCACATTTATTTAATTAATTACCATAATCTGTTTATTTTGATTTACTTTTTTAAATGTTAGTTTACAACAAATTGAAACTTAAAATAAATTTTATTTTATTTCATTTTTTTTTAGTTAATAAAATGTTTAACTGGTTCATGTGATACGAAAGAAATTAAAATTATAGTCTTAAATGCAAATACTGTTGGTAGCTAAATGTCTTCAGTTCATTCAATGGTAAAGTCCTCTTTCAATTTAATATTTTGTTAATGTACTTGCGCCGCTTTATGTGAGCAAAAAAAA